CAACTGGGGGATGAGGCATGTCAGACTAAGATGTTACAGACTTGGATAATTATGAATCAATTCACAAATGTCAATAATATATTATCTAGAGGTTAATTGTTGACGGAACGAAAAAGGTGGAACTCGGAAGTGCAGCTCCAGACCGTCTGTGCGGTGCACACAATGGAGACGTGTGGTTCTCCCTGTTTAGCACAGACAGCAGCTTTTTTGAGTGACTGCTGCTACTAAATTCTCCTGCACACTGTGCAGCGCATTAGCGCTTTGTGAGCGTCCTCCACTCATTCTTCAAATGACAGTTACGTGACAGGCGTGAAAACGAGCAGAGGAAACTTGAACACTACGTTTCAGTCTGGCAGTAAATGTACAGTGTAGGTCACCACATGTCCGTTTATTAAAGTCTATCTGTTTTCCAGCTACTAGAAAAGCAGTTAGCGCTAGCAAACATCTCCCCTTCAGACTGCGGTCTGGAAGCTGAGCAGGATGTTTGGCTGCTGTAAAGTTGGTTTGTCATTTATCCACATATCGAGTACACAAATGAACGAATGCTGTTTCTCAAAGCGCATGGTGCTCATTACAAGATTGTAGTAATCAACTTACAGGACAAGACAAACATATTACTACACTATACGAGACAAAAAGGAACAAATATATTAAGGTGGAGTGAAAGAGATTTGGCTCGAGCATTTTAAAGTGTGTAGTTCAACACGTATCTGAATAGCAACAGCAGAGGTCAGTAATAACGCTATAATGATGTGCAAGGTTAGCTACATTTATCTGAAGTAACAAATAGTTGCATTTCATTACTACCTACTACTTTGGATTGTTACAAATACTTAAAATGCTTTAAAAGTACCAGTGAGAAATACATCTGTGTCCTGTTCATTTTACAATCGCATTGTAGCCTCATAATTGTAATGAGGTACCTTGAAATTCCCACCCTTAAGGTGATGCATCGAGGAATCGAATAGTGAGACCAATGACGATGCACACCCCTAATTCTCCTCTTAAAGATCTTTTTTTTTTTCTCCAAGAACTGGACATTTGCGAGTAGGATACTGGGCAGGAGGGGTGTTGGGTTAGACTCTCTGCCCACAATTATTTTGCCTTGACAAAGAAAATACTTCCATTGTTGTTGGTGGTGCAATGGTGAGCGTCTCACATCTGATTAACATTAAAAATAATACTAAATGGTTAGTAGTAGGGATGTCACGATCAAGTTCTTTTATCCCTAAATGCAGTCCTTTAATATTGGGAATCTGCAGATTCCGACGCTGATCCTTATATACTTATCTGATCAATGTGTAGGTAAATATATGTATCTCACACAAGCTGAAGCTAATTAAGCTTATTAATATGATATGAATAAAATGTTTGTCAAGTAATTCAGGAAAGTCATTAAAACTCTTCTTTCATGTCTATAATAGGACTATGGACAGGATTGACCATTTGTGTGTCACTGCAAGCAACTTTTTTTATAATATTTTTGTACAAACTTGATTGGAAGAAGGCTACTGAAGAGGTGCGTACCTGAACTATTTGAACAGTCAAAAAGATTCTTAAATTTTTATTTGTTTTGAGATATAACTGAAATCGATACATGAAAACAGCTGTCTTTCATGTCTCTGATCAGGCTCTTGTAAGAGCAGGAGTCCAGATCAAAGAAGAAAAAGAGATGGTCCAGATGGAAAATCTAGGTAAGTGTGTGTTTACATGGCACATCATTTGTGTCAGTTTAGTGTTAATACAAAATATTCCCTCAAACTTCTAGACTCAATACAGAACTTGGACCAGGTCAGTACTACTTCATCCAATTTAGAGGAAGCTGGGGAGGACCACACATACCAGGACGTGCATATTCCAGACCAGAATAATTCTACTACCACTGTAGTGGGAGAAGTTCTTTCAATAACACAGTTGGTTTTACGGCGTGGCCTCACATTGCTGCTCATGATTGTAATCCTTGCTGCTGGAATCCTCACCAATTACCTACTTGTCAGATTGTTCACATAGTGAACCAGGCAGTGTTTTAATTATTTTATACTAAAAAGGAATAATACAGAATCTTTTTCTCTCCCTGGGAGAAAGAGGTGGGGGGGTGGTTGGATATCAACCCTCAGACAGCTGAAGTACCCTCACCTTGTGCCTAATTGACCCTTTGCAAAGCCTTGCCCCAAATACAATCTGACCAATCACAGCGCAGTATAGGACTCACTCGGAGTTCCGACACTTTCAATGCAACTTTTTAATGCAAAAGGAGTCGTTTTTACTAGCTTTTTTTTTCGCTGTATTTTTCCAAGATATGGTCAAACGCTGTTCCTGCACTTGTAATAATTACAGTCGCTACCCAGAGAGGTTGATAGAAGTCCAATTTATTCGCTTTCCAAAACCTAAAATAAATCCAGAAAATTCAGCTGTGGATTTTTCCTAATGTAATGTTTAGCTATCGCTAACTCTCTTCCTACTGAATGTAATAAAGCCCTATTCTGCTTTTTAATGATTGTAGTAATGAATAGAGGCCTACCCAGCTTTACAGGAAGAGTGTTGATCTTTATTGTTGTCTTTTGTCTCAATCATCGGGGGATGCGGTGGTTCACTTGTATTGTGTGATTGGTAGGCTTGAGTCAGTTTGACAGCCTGAATACAACCTTCAAATGTATAATGCAACTGCAAAAGTGTCTTTCTTCTGAGATCGCTTTTTCCAACAAATTTGACAATATTTCTCTGGGGAGTGCAGTAATAGACAGTGGCAGAGCCGACAGTTTGTCGGACTTAGCAACAGTAACTAAGGTGGGCGGGGCTTAGCAAAGGGTCAATTTACATTACTCTGGCTGTTTCTCAATACCAAGTTCGGATTTCTGTACTTTAAAGCTCGGACTTGGCAAGTTTGCCTCGGAGTACAAACTTCCAGGAACATTAGCATCAGCAATTGGAACAGCAGCAGACTTGATGACAGCCGGACCCGTTAGCGGGCGGGACCTCACATCTCCGAAAATGTTGTAGCAATTTTCTAAATCAGCTCTGTCATCATCCACATATTTGTAGTTTAAAAAACTCTTAAAACTACTATGACACAAGAACAGCAGTATTATAAGTTACAGTTCTGAGATATCTGGCGATCTGAGGTCCACACAAGTGACCATCGATGGAGGCTCGGTAAAACAGGCGGAGCAAGAACACATCTGGGTATTTGACAGTACTTGGCTAGATGCAGACTTTTGAATTGGAACTGTACTTTGGCTGCGACTTATGATGATTCAAAGTCCACAAGTACAAACAAGAACGCAGATTGAGAAACAGCCTCTGTGTTTTATTGTTTGTAATCTGATGCCATGTTCTTATAACTTATATTTTGTAAGTAAGGATGTTTAACAATCAGTATTCTCCTAGAAGTTTAGTTAAGATGCTCCTATGAAATGTTTTTAACTGGTAACTATCATAATTGTTATGGACGATTAACAATAACTTTTATCAAATGCTTAAAATTAAGAACTTTACAAGAGTTGATTGTGGAAGGGTATTTGATTACAAAACACGTAAATAGACTTTAAGAACTTATTAACGTTAAGACACAGAAGTCTCGGGGGAAACATAGCCCTCCCCCTGGGAACACGCCCCAGGCAACAAAAACACAGAGCCATAGCTGCTCTCTGGCTTGTCTGCTTCTCTCTCGGCACGCTTACGGAGCGCGCTCCGTGTCAAAGCAATGCCAACGCCCAAGATTTCGACCCGGCATTGTCAGTGAAATTTTCTTAACGTTTACTTTCTTTTGTTAAGAGTTCTCTGACCTCAATGCGTTCCAGGTGCATGGTGGTGCGCGACACTGAAAGTGAACGAAAACCATGGCTGACCGTGAAAGTGTGCACACAGTTGCACCCTCAGCAGTGTTTTAGGTGTTAATTAAAAGCATGGCAGTTTAACTGCAACAACTGACATAAAACTGTGTACCCCTCTAGCTACATCAGTTGGTAACCCACAAGTCAGTCAGTGTTGTAGTTACACTTCCATAATGTGTTGGCATTTTTAACAGTAACTTTTATGCAGAGAAGATGACTTTGAGTCTTTACTGTAGCCAGTTACATAATAGGCCTAACATATTTCTACATCAATGTACATGCAGAACAGGTTTTACCATATGTATTATTTTAACTTAAATACATGCAAATATACTTGTTGTTTTTAGTTTATAGTTTACCATTTAGTGTGTGCATCCATGGGCACTAACATTGTTTTGTGACGTAATTCAGCTGCTACTCTTTAAGTCGGGGTACATATATTTTTCTCAGAGTTCATAAGTAGGAAATCCGACTTCAGGTGGCGTTCCAGGGTAGTTTTTCTAGTTGGATGTCGGAAATTTCCCAGTTCCGAGTTGCCTGGAACGCAGCATAAGCCTAACTAGTCATGAGGCCGACCAAACCCCAACCGGCTGTAAAACAGCAAGCAGAAAGACAAACGAACTACATTCTGTGGCGCGGTGATGTCCTTTTTCTATGTCCTAATTCTTTAGCCTTTAATCCTTTAGTCATTTTAGCCTAAAACTCCTAGCCAAATTTAACTTAGTTATGATCATATAACTTGTGTTCCTTGTCTTACACTCAAATTCTTTCCACAATAGACCAACTAAATTCACCTTAAACTCTGTTATTGTCATGTATTGCATTCTGGTTTAATCATTATTGTATGTATGTGATATATTTAACCTCACTGTGTATTCACTTTAGTTGGTTAATAAATTTTACCTTAATCACAGGAACTGTGTGTGTGTGTGTACTGTTTAAATCCAGGTCACTGGACTAAGGATTCACGACTTTGATATGAGACTGACTGATTAAAACAATTATTGACTAACTGCTCACTAGTAAATAATTGTGTAATTATTAAAACCATACCTAAAGGCATCCTGAAGGCCTTTAGGCAAACGAGATTCAGGTGGTGCCCCAACACGAGTGCTTATGAAATATTATTTTCAAATATTTTTTCATAACTTTATTAACCAGTAAGTAGTTTTACTACATAGAAATTACTCTGGCAGACATGCGGATGTTTGTCTCCGCTTTATGTTTTAGCTTGCCAATCCTATTATACCGTCCAATATGACAAGCCAAAGAGACATTTTTTACTCAGGGGTTACAGCTACAGCAAACCAGAACTAAAATTCAAGTAAATATAAGATATATTTTGATATGCATCAAGTATGAGAACTCCAGCTCTGCTTTCTGCTGAAAGTAACACTACACTTGACAAATGGATCTGTCATAGCTGGTTTTGGTTTCAAATTTCTTCACATATGGGGTTAAAAATGTCATAATGCAAATTGAAAGCAGAATATATTCAGGCATTACCTGCCCTCTTTATAATGAGAAGCACTACAGGGAGCACTGATAGATGTTGTATATCCAGGGTCTAAGGGTGGAGGGTGTCATTTGCTGCACAGATTGTAAAGCCCCCTGAGGCAATTTTCTGAAACTGGGCTAAAATAAAACTAACTTGACTACATCACAGTATTATGTATGGGATTGTATAAGTAAATACGAGTTAGAAAATGAATTGTTAGATATTTAAATTTGACACTTTCAATTTATTTTTTATTTGTCTGTACTTGTGTCTGTGAAGGTATGAATTGAGGTTTCCACAGGTTGTTGAACAAATCACTGGGAGGCATTATCATCTGAGCTCCAAGTGACAGCAATAATGAAGCAGGGCAGAGGAATGAAAGAAGAGAAGGCCTCTGGCAGTAGTTGTCTGCTGACAAGAAATTAAACCTGCATTAACACTTTTGTAATCTTCATCGTGATTGTGAGCAAACAAAAGAAACAGGCTACCAGATTAGGAGAATGCTATGATGAGCAGGCCTGTTGACATAATGACGACTGGCCATGTAAACAGAAATGCATTGTTTTCAGGTGATACCAGGCTGTAGCGATTACACAATTGAACAAATTGTAAATTTGACATTTAAAAATGTAATAGCAGTAAAAGTAGCATTACCACAATGCCAATGAGTAAAAGTCCTGAATTCAAAATTGTACTTGCACCTACCTACAAGGTAGGCCTACATAAGATTTGTCAGCAAAATGTTTCAAAGTATAGTATAGTTCAATTGTATTATGCAGAATGGTCCCCTTTAGAGTGTTGTATATACCTTTTATTAGAAGTAGCAATACATCAAGTGAATAGAGCAAGTTGTGCAAAAGAGCACCAGTGGCTCCTGCTGCAGGTAGCCAGCCACCATGATCTTGTGATAATGCGGTTTCCTGTCAGTGTGACATCTACACAACATGCAGAAGCACTGAATGCCCCACCACACATTGTAGCGTCATAAGTTGACATAAAGTATGATTGACGGACTCATCTCGTCCACTCTAGTGCTCAACACCAGAGCCCCCCCAAGGGCTGTGTGCTTAGCCCCCTCCTGTTCAGGCTGTACACCCACGACTGCATCCCCGACTGCATCCCCCGACATGGAGAGAACTCTTTTGTGAAGTTTACGGACGACACCGTCATCATCGGTCGGATTTCAAACAACGATGAGACTTCATATCGGGAGGAAATTGATAATCTTGTAGAGTGGTGCTCAGTGAACATCCTACTCCTCAACATCAGCAAAACGAAGGAGCTGATTGTTGATTTTAGGAAGAAGGAGATGAAGATACCCACTCCTGTCTACAGTGAAGCTGAGGTGGAGCAGGTGAATCGTTTCAGGTTCCTGGGAATCAGCATCAGAGAGAACCTGGCATGGTCACATCTCCACGCTGTTGAAGAAAGCTCAGAAACGGCCGGATTTGTTGAGGAAGCCTAAGAAGGCCAAATTCCTGTGCCAAATTCTTGT